GCCATCTTCAGTTTTCAGGTTGTAGTGGTGGTAGTAGTAAACAATAAAAAAGAACTTAAAAGGCTTTAAAGTAGAATCGACAAGAAGCAGAATCGATCTCGCTTGACAATGCGGCACAATGATGACAACACAAGCGGCGGCGGCGACTGCAGCTGCAGAAATGCTAAATCACTGAACAGCTCTGCAGAACTGGAAGATTGCCGGGAAGATTGCCCCGATCTCTAGCTCAACACAAGCACAGAGCGGCGGGAACTTTTCCCGCTTCTATTTCTTTGCCTTTTTCCCCGGTTCTATTTTCCAACTTGCATTTCATCACTTCATCACATCTTATCATCTGGTTGACCACTTTATCAGCCCTTCTAGGGCCCAAGGACGCCCTTACAGCTGGATCAGCTTGAAACCGGTACCCCCTACCCCCTCCTCATTTTGTACTCTCTCTTTTCACTTCTCTGCTTGTGAGCCAGGCCGGCGGCGGCGGCGAAGATCCCTCCTCCTCGCGCCGTCCATTTTCACTCTGCCAGTGCCACTGCCCCTGCACTCTCGCACTCTCACTGTGTGTGCATCAGTGGATTCATTCTCCGATCCGATCCGATCTGAGAGCTAAGAGCTCACACAGACACACAAAGGAAAGGAGAGTGAGAGATTGAGCTTTCGCGCTCTCCGCCGAAGTGTCAACACAACCAACCAACCACACGCACCACCACCACCATCACCAACGGCAGCAGCAGCAGCCTGATCTCGAGGATCACATCTTCAGCGGCACATCCTCCCAAAAGAGTGTGATCCAAGAGAGGAACCATCATTATCATCACCATCATCACCAGTGAACATTTCAACATCGGCAGCAGAGACAGGCGACTGGCAGGCAGGCGGGCTACTGTGCCTTCGGTGCGTCAGTTTGCGCGCCATACTGGTTCGCTGCTGCTACAGCAACAGCATCCTCAGATGTGCTTGATTGTTGATACTCTGTGCTGCAGCACTTTGCCAATTCTCTCTCTCTCTCTCTTGAAGAGAGTGTTCCCAAGTAGCTTCCGAGGTCGAATCTCACTTGCCTGAATGGCACCCGAACCCTGTGCGGCACCTTCCTAACAGTTCAGTCTGCAACAACAGGAGTTCCACTACTCACAACAGCCCACTCACTCACTCACCCCCACCAACATCACATCATGTACATCAAACAGGTCAGTGTTTTTTTTTAGTTTAGCACCACTTTTTCCTCATTTCGAAAACTCATTTTAACCCCTTCTTTTTCCCACTAACAACCAGATCATCATCAACGGCTTCCGCTCGTACCGCGAGCAGACGGTCATCGAGCCGTTCAGCCCGCGCCACAACGTGGTGGTCGGCCGTAACGGCTCCGGCAAGTCGAACTTCTTCTACGCCATTCAGTTCGTGCTGAGCGACGAGTTCAGCCACCTGCGGCCCGACCAGCGCCAGCAGCTGCTGCACGAGGGCCCCGGCCAGCGGACGATGATCGCCTACGTGGAGATCATCTTCGACAATGCGGACAACCGCCTGCCGATTGACGAGCCGATCGTCACCCTGCGCCGCCAGATCGGCCTCAAGAAGGACCAGTACTACCTGAACAAGAAGATCGTCACGCGGGCCGATGTGATGAACGTGCTGGAGAGCGCCGGCTTCTCCCGCTCCAACCCCTACTACATCGTCAAGCAGGGCAAGATCAACCAGATGGCCACCGCTCCGGATCCGCAGCGCCTGAAAATCCTCCGCGAAGTGGCCGGGACGCGAATCTACGACGAGCGGAAGGAGGAGTCGCGCGTCGTCCTCCGCGAAACCGAGAACAAACTGGAGAAGATCATCGACCTGATCAAGTACATCGAGGAGAAGCTGCAGACGCTGGAGGGGGAGAAGGAGGAGCTCCGGGAGTACCAGAAGTGGGACAAGATGCGCCGCGCCCTCGAGTACACCATCTTCAACAACGAGCTGGAGGAGGCGCGCAAGCGGCAGAAGGAGCTGGAGAACCGCCGCGAGACGAGCAGCATGGTCACGGAGAAACTGCGCGAGCAGCTGCAGGGCAGCACCGAGAAGCTGAAGGACCTCGGTAGAGACTTGCGGGAGGTGAAGACGAAACTGCAGACCTACCGCGACGAGAAGGAGACGCTGCAGCACGAGCACAGCGCCTTCCTCAAGGACAAGACCCGCCTGGAGCTGCACATTCGCGACCTGCGCGACGAGGTGGAGGGCGACGCCAGCTCCAAACAACGAGCCGAGAAGGAGCTCACCTCGCTGAAGGAGAAGATCCTGGAGAAGCAGACGGAGCTGAATCAGATCAAGCCGGAGTACGAGGAGATGAAGCGGCTGGAGGAGGAGTGCACCCGCCAGCTGAACATCAGCGAGCAGAAGCGGTCGGAGCTGTACGCGAAGCAGGGCCGGGGCAGTCAGTTCACCTCGAAGGGCGAGCGCGACAAGTGGATTCAGACGGAGCTGAAGGCGCTGCAGCGCAATGTCCAGGACAAGCGGGTGCAGATTGAGCGGCTGCGGGAGGACCTGAAGAGAGACGCGAAGCGGAAGGATGAGCTGGAGGCGAAGATTGACGTAAGTGAGATTTGGGGGGGAGTTGGAATTTTGAGGAAATTTTTTCCTAATCTCCTCCTCTTTAAATTTTTGCTGCAGGAACTCTCGAAGGAGCTAGATAACAACCGCTCGAGCATTGACGTGCAGAACAAGTCCTACTACGACATGAAGAAGAAGAAGGACGCGCTGCAGAGTGAGCGAAAGTGAGTGTGATGGCTTTTTTGTTTTTTTTTATTTTTTTTTTATTTAACCTCATCTTTTTCTCCCCCTCCAGCGACATGTGGCGACAGGAGAATGCCCTGCAGCAGAACTACAACATGCTGCTGGAGGAGAAGTCGAAGAAGGACCAGCTGCTGCGGTCGATGGTGGGCAAGACGATCCTCAACGGGCGCGACTCGGTCAACAAGGTGCTGGGCATCTTTGCGGAGAGGGGCGGCGTGTACGACCAGATTGCCAAGCACTACTATGGGATGCTGATTGAGAACTTTGACTGCGTGAAGGAGTTCTACACGGCCATTGAGATGACGGCGGGCAATAAGCTCTTTCACCACATTGTGGAGAACGACAAGGTGGGCACGCGGATTCTCCAGGAGATGAACAAGCTGAAGCTGGCCGGCGAGGTGACCTTCATGCCCATCAACCGCCTCTACTCCAAGGACATTGACTACCCGCAGACGGCGGTAAGTGGAAAAGGAGGAGGATGATATTATTTTTGGAAGTTTATTAGGCTCATTCCTAACCTCGAAACTTTCCTTTCCCCTCAGGACGCCATTCCGATGATCTCCCGGCTGACCTTCGACAAGAAGCACGACACGGTGATGAAGTTCATCTTCGGGAAGACGCTGATCTGCCGCTCGCTGGAGGTGGCCACCTCGCTGGCGCGCACCAGCCACCTCGACTGCATCACCCTCGACGGCGACCAGGTGTCGCACAAGGGCAGCCTGACGGGCGGGTACTTCGACACGCGGCGCAGTCGGCTGGAGCTGCACAAGTCGCACTCGACGCTGATGAAGGACATCGCCGAGGCGAAGGAGAAGGTCGACTCGCTCCACGAGAAGGTGAACGAGGTGGAGCAGCAGATCAACCAGATCGTGGGGGAGATGCAGCGGGCGGAGACGAAGAACAGCAAGAATAAGGACACCTTCNAAGGTCGACTCGCTCCACGAGAAGGTGAACGAGGTGGAGCAGCAGATCAACCAGATCGTGGGGGAGATGCAGCGGGCGGAGACGAAGAACAGCAAGAATAAGGACACCTTCGACAAGATGAAGACCGACATACGGCTGCTGAAGGACGAGCTGGCGGCGAATGAGCGCTCAAAGGGGCCGAAGGAGCGCTCGCTGGTGTCGCACGAGTCCAGTCTCAGCTCGATGGAGTCGCTGCAGGAGTCGCTGAAGAGCGAGCTCCAGCAGGACCTGCTGACGCAGCTCTCGCTGGCGGACCAGCAGGAGGTGGACCGCCTCAATGATGAGATCCGCCAGCTGACGCAGCGCAACAAGGAGGCCTTCAGCCGGCGGATGCAGCTGGAGGCGCAGAAGAACAAGCTGGAGAACCTGCTCAATAACAACCTCTGCCGGCGGCGGGACGAGCTGGAGGCGGCGCTGCAGGAGATCAGCGTGGAGGACCGCCGCCAGAAGCTGGACAGCGAGTCGCAGGAGATGGGCCTGATCTCCCGGCGCATCGACACCGTCCTCGAGCAGATGCGCGCCCTGGATGAGAGCATCGAGAAGACGGCGCGCAAGCAGAAGGAACTGCAGACCGAGGTGGAGCGGAAGAAGGCCGAGGAGCGCGATACGATTGAGCGCATCAACGAGGACTCGAAGGACCTGGACAAGATCACCTCGAAGAACTCGGTGCTGGCGAAGAAGATTGAGGAGTGCATGCGGAAGATCCGCGAGCTGGGGACGCTGCCCGCCGACGCCGAGATGAAGTACAACTCGATGTCGCTGAAGGCGCTCTACAAGAAGCTGGAGGGCTGCAATAAGGAGCTGCAGAAGTACTCGCATGTGAACAAGAAGGCCCTCGACCAGTACATGGACTTTAGCGAGAAGAAGGAGCGGCTGCTGCAGCGCAAGGCGGACCAGGACCAGGCGCACCGCTCCATCGTCGACCTGATGACGGCGCTGGAGCAGCGCAAGTACGAGGCGATTCAGTTTACCTTTCGCCAGGTGTCCAGTTACTTTAGCGAGGTCTTTCGCAAGCTGGTCCCAAATGGGCGTGCCAGCCTGGACATGAAGACGGATGAAAATGTAAAAGGGGGCGGCGGCGGACATGAGGCGGGCGGCCCGCCCACCATTGACAACTTCACCGGCGTCAGCATTCGCGTCTCCTTCACCGGCTCCAATGCGGAGATGAAGGACATGCAGCAGCTCAGTGGTGGGCAGAAGTCGCTCGTCGCACTGGCCTTCATCTTTGCCATTCAGAAGTGCGACCCCGCCCCCTTCTACCTCTTTGATGAGATTGACCAGGCGCTCGATCCGATGCACCGAAAGGCTGTCGCCGGTAAGTGCTGCTGCTGCTGCTGCTTTGTTTTGTTTTGTTTTTTCCCTTTTGCTTTGTTTTACTAACCCCATTCTTCATTCCAATATACATAGAAATGATTCACGAGCTGGGCAACGACGCGCAGTTCATCACCACCACCTTCCGGCCGGAGCTGCTGGAGAATGCGGACAAGTTTTACGGCGTCAAGTTTCGAAATAGGGTAAGGCTGTGACTTTGTTTCTACTTTGGGGAAATGGATCGCGTGCCACTTGCGTGCGACTGTCGTTTAGACTTTTGAGAGAGTTTTGTCAACAAGAGCTAACATTTCCTTTCTTTTTTCTTTCCTCTCCTTTCCTTCCACCACTTAAAATAGGTGAGCCACATTGAGGTGGTCAGCAAGGAGGAGGCACAGGACTTTGTGGAGGACGACACTCAGCAGGTCTAACAACAAAGCAGCAGCACTGAAACATTTGGGGGAGCACCCCAGTGCATTCAGTAATCACCACCACCACCACCACCGTCGGAAAACATCTCACCAACAAGCCAAGCAAACACATCACCATCATCATCATCTTGGACACTACCACCACCACCACGACCACCACCATCACCACCTGTTGCATTTAGACTCCACTCTCCCGATCATCATTACTTTCACTCTTATATTCTATATTTTGCCACCCGTATCGGCCATCGTCTTCTTCAATCCCCAATCTTTTTTCTTATCGCACAGAACACACACACAGACACAACTTTCTTTTCTTTCTTCTCTTCTCTTTCTTCATCTTTTACCAGGCTGNCACCTGTTGCATTTAGACTCCACTCTCCCGATCATCATTACTTTCACTCTATATTCTATATTTTGCCACCCGTATCGGCCGCATCGTCTTCTTCAATCCCCTCTTTTTTTCTTATCGCACAGAACACACACAGACACAACTTTCTTCTCTTTCTTCTCTTCTCTTTCTTCATCTTTTACCAGGCTGATCGGCCACCACCACCACCGCCGCATCAGCAATCATTGTCTGGATGTCAATTGTTTTTCCTTTCCTTTCTTTATCCTTTCATTCACTTTCCTTCTCTCTCTCTCTCTCTCTCTCTCTCTCTCTCTCTCTCTCTCTCATCCTTTTCTCTCACGATTCTCTCTATACTATCGGCTCTATTTATTACTTTGTATTTCAGCTCGTTTGCGCATCTCTACTTTATCTTTTCAGCATGATCTATATTTTGCCATTCTCAACTTTTTCTTCTTCTTCTTCNTTCTCTCTATACTATCGGCTCTATTTATTACTTTGTATTTCAGCTCGTTTGCGCATCTCTACTTTATCTTTTCAGCATGATCTATATTTTGCCATTCTCAACTTTTTCTTCTTCTTCTTCTTCTTCTTCTTCTTCTTCTTCTTCTTCTTCTTCTTCTTCTTCTTCTTCTTCTTCTTCTTCTTCTTCTTCTTCTTCTTCTTCTTCTTCTTCTTCTTCTTCTTCTTCTTCTATTTACTCTTGGTGTACTCTCTTTTTATCTTTACGCCATAACAGCACACAACTTACACATCTTTTTCCTTACTTTTTCCGCTGTTTGACACACATATTCTCTCTTTCAACAGCCTTTTTTTCTTCTTCCCCACTACTTTTCCTCATCATCTTTCCTTCCCTCAGCTAACTTAATATTACCGCCACATAAAGAGCGCGCGCGCGCATGATTATGAATTATTATTTGAATACTAGCCTTTTATCACCGTGTATCACCACTGCGAGCACTGGCAATAAAAGGTGACTCGTCGCTTTGACTTAAAGAGAGGTCGGAGGTTTTACACACAATCAAATGGGGCGCACACATCTTCTCCCTCATTTTTTCTTCTCCACCCGAGCGAGCACACATTTCCCTCATTTTACTTAGGTAAAGGAACGGAACGGAAGGGAGAAAGAAAAAAGACTGAGATGATGACTGATTTTGTGCTGCGACGGCGGCAAAAAAAAAAGCAAATACACACAGTGGCCGGCGAAAAGGGCAAGTCGAACTGCTGCTGCAAACTGCGGCGGCAAAAAAGTCTCTCGGAATGCTCGCTGCTCATGTTGGCATCTAGCAGAGCTGCTAACTTCGGCTGACCTCTAAAAAGAGGCATCTCTCTAACTCTCTCGCGCTGAAATGGCCGCATCCGTTTGCCGGTCGAACATCTTTTCCTTCCATTCCCTTCACTTCTCTCTCATCACTCTTGTCCGCTAGAATGTATTGAAAAGGCAGCAGAAGTTATTGAGGTTACGCGGTACTGCAGTTGCCAATTCGGATAATTTATTACCACCTTTGCCTGATTTTTTTTCTCTCTCTCTCTCTCTCTTTCTTACCTGTCCGTCTGAGCTCCGTAAGTTTAGAGCTCAGAACTCTGATCGCCGCCGCCGCCGCTAACTCGTTCATTAATACCACGAAAGCCGATTTATTATTAGTGCTTTCGTTCTCATTTGCAATTTTTATGCGAAAAGTGAATAAGTAAAAACAGTGTTTGAGATTTTTAGTTTCTCCGCGTTTCGACACGCAAAGTTTGCTTGCCTACCTATGTCCTGTCAAAAGATGCTACCAGAAAAATAAACAAATCAAAAGAGAAAGAAGAGAAAATCACTTCAAATCAGCCTCTTTGTCTGGCTCTAAGCCCCTTGGTCTTCTAGGTCTTCTCCAATAGAAAGAAAAACAGCCTTGAAAAACTCTCCTTCTCCCCTACTTTTTTTTGTCTATCCCCTCTTCCTCGAGGCAACAAAGTCTGCCGAATTACCGCCGCCGCCGCTGCTGCTGTTGCCCTACTGCCCGTCCGATGCTAATGTGCAAATCTCACACAGGCGACGACTAATGTGTGTGCCTGCCTGTTTGTCTGCTTGCCTGATCGATACTGGGCCAATGGCCACAACCTTCACCAGCTTCATCTCCACCGCCACTCTCAGTTCACCCCAAGCAGCATCCCAGTCAGGTCTATTTATAAGTGTATACTTGTTGTTTGGCTGTTCAAAGAGTTGTTGCTGTTGCTGCAGGTGCCACTGAAGCAGCAGCAGCAGCAGCAGCAGCAGCAGTGGCCAAAGAAGCAGGCCAATCAGTGCCGGTCAATCATCAATAGCACCACCACACTAACATCGAAGTGACAAAATGCATCCGATTAATCGCGCAACTTAATGGGCAACTTTTTTTTCTTCTTCTCTTCTCTCTTGCAGATCTTTGGTGGTGGTGGTGGTGGTAGTGGTGGAAGTAGCGGTAGCGGTGCTAATTAGGCCATGGTGCAAGGGCATCACCGAGGATCACTGGCTGGCTGGCGNAGTAGTGCTAATTAGGCCATGGTGCAAGGGCATCCGAGGATCACTGGCTGGCGATGCCTAATGATTATTGACCATTTACTGATTTAAGATAATGTATGCTAAGCTCTCGAGGAGGAACGTTTTGATGGTCATTTCTGCTTCATCTTCATCTTTTTCAACAGCAGTGTGAAGTGTGGCGCATCCTNGAAGATAATGTATGCTAAGCTCTCGAGGAGGAACGTTTTGATGGTCATTTTTGCTTCAGCTTCATTATCTTCTTCAACAGCAGTGTGAAGTGTGGCGCATCCTGAAAAAAAATCAGGGTGAAGCAAATTGTAATGGTGTGCATCCTCGATTAATCAAACGTCCACATCGACGGTGGTGGTGGTGGTGGTGGTGGTGGTGACAGATTACTGAGATGAAAGATGAAAAAGATGATGATGATCATCATCATCATTGGCAGTGATGATTTGTTTACCTCTCTCTCTCTCTCCCTTTTTTTGGCGAGCTTTGAGGTTGCACCGAGCTAAAGATGAAAAGAGGAAATTACCTCCTTTTTATGGGCGATCACTCTTTAAAATTCGACTGACAGTGATTTTTTTCCGATTTTTTCTTGTAAACGTCGGGAGGAGAAAGCGAACGACCACCATCGACCGACTGGCAGACTGACCGACCAACAAACGAATCGCTAGACAAGCTCTGTTCTCTCAGTCTTCGTCATTGCCTTGTGGAGTGGGCACCATTGTTCATTGTCGATGATGGTGGTGGTGTGAGAAGAGAGAGAGATGAAATGCTGCTCCATTCAGTTTGATGATGGTGGTGGCGGCGGAGAACAAGGGCAAGACGGGTAGCAGGGTGAAATTAGCGGAAACTCGAGTAGCATAGGCGAGATATGACCACCGCCACCACCACTTAACCGGCGAACTTGCCTTCCATTTCTTCTTCTT